CGGTCGAATAATGGAATGTGTCGCTCCAGTATACACTGTCAGTACTCTCTCCTGCCCATTCACACATCCACCAACAGTGAGGTTGCATGCTTTCCGGCCAATTTGTGAGACGGAGATTATGGGCCCTTCAACTTCTGGAGCCAGCACGCGGCCCTTCCTGCTGGCTCGTTTCAGTTTAACGACTGATTGGAGTTGGCTTCGTCTCCTTCAGCCCTGCGTTTGCGTCCTGCTGAATTGTTGAGNTTCAACTTCTGGAGCCAGCACGCGGCCCTTCCTGCTGGCTCGTTTCAGTTTAACGGCTGATTGGAATTGGCCTCGTCTCCTTTAGCCCTGCGTTTGCGTTCTGCTGAATTGTTGAGCCCACTGGAACTTGCGCTACAATCGCGGGCGAAGTGACCTGGCTTTCCACATTTAAAACATTTGCCAGAGCCATTCTTTTTCTCGCCCAGCAGTTGGATAATCCTCTTCAGCATTTCATTTGTCTCTTCCGGTGTTTCCCCTTCCACACGATGTGCTTTGTAGGCTGGTCTACTTAGGAGCGCCGCCGTTTCACGCGTCTGAGCATACGAGACAGTTTCAGCAAATGTTGGCTTTGGATTCGCGTACGTCTCTCGCTTGGTATACACGTCCCGCATTACGTTGACGAACCTCTGGATTTTTACCCTTTCGAGGTGCTCACCAGATGCGTCTCCAATAGCCAACCTCTCGATCTCTGAGGCGAATTCCTGCAGAGTCTCGTTGGATTTTTGGCAGCGATTCTCCAGCTTCATCTGGTAGATATGTCGCCTCTGCTCGCTACCATAGCGTCTTTCCACGGCCCCCATCAATGCATCGTAATTGTTCCTTTCACAGTCAGGAATAGATAGATAGATAATTTATGAGGTATGCACTGCGCCCTAATGATCTATTGTGCCCTCCACTCTTCACAATACTTCCTCCAAGCTAAGATCCCCCAGGAAGTCCCAAAGCTTCTTTGGGGATAAGGAGTGAATGTGCACTAACTGTGGCCACATGGAGCCTAAACTACTCTCACGTCTTCTGCTGACTGCATCACACTCAATGAGGATGTGGAGTGGCGTTTCACTGGAGACGTCGCAGAACCGGCAAAGGTCATTCGATCGTAACCCCAGTTTATACATATGCCCTCCCAGTCTGCAGTGGCCTGTAAGAAAACTGTTAATATTCTCAGCCTCTCCTTTGGGAGGCTAATTAAACTTTTGAATCTACTCTTGTTGTACCCTCCTAGCAGGCTTTTTGTCTGTCGCATACCTACCGAACTCTGCCAGTTCGAGTCCCTCATATTGTACCTCTCCTCCCTGAGCTTTTCCTTAATAGTGCTGGGACCCACTCCCAGGAAGGGCTCAGGGCCAATTGGAGTAATGGCTGCCGCCTCTCTAGCGCCGCCGCTTAATTCCCCTCTATTCCCATATGGCCAGGCACCCACGCCAGTTTGACGTTGTTGTGCCTACCAAGGGAGTTGAGCCTCTCTATGCACTCAAGGACTAGAGACGATTTAATTTCGAAAGATAACAGAGCCTTGAGTGCCGCCTGACTGTCACTAAGAATTACAATCCTCTCATTACGGTATCCTCTATTAATGATGGTCTCCGCACACAAGTAGATGGCGTAGACTTCAGCCTGAAATATGCTCGGATATTTCCCCATCGGGATAGGGATCCTGGACCTAGGTCCGGAAATTCCAGTCCCTATTCCTTCCGTGGTCTTCAAGCCATCTGTGTACCAATGCAGTGTACCATCCTGAAGGAGTGTCTCAAAGGAGGAGCGGGAGCGAGGACCCTAGCTTCGCCATGTTCCTAGAGGAAATGACCTTACCTCTTCCATGATCCTCTCTAGTGAAATAGAGCAGAGTTCTTTTGGCAGCCAGTTCTATAGTTATGTACAGGGGCTCGAGTTCAAGGACCACTTACAGCGCTGTCGTCGGACACGTGCGCATCGCTCTCGTTATGCATACACATGCCAGTCGTTGTAGCTTAGTGAGCGATTGTCTCACAGTAGCCAGAGGGGTTCTTTAAACTCAGGCCACTGCCCCATATGTCACTATTGGCTGTACTATCATGGTGTAAAGTCATCTTAGGACAAACGCCCGACAAACGCTTACACACCATTAATGCTTTTGTAGCGTTGGATGTGGTCTCATCATCATATTTCTTCCATAGAAGCTTGGTGTACAGGATTAGTCCTAGGTACTTCACTTCCCTGGCGACATAATGTCCCTCATGCCCGGTAAGGCCCTTTTCCTAGTGATGGCGGTTTTAGCTGGGTTTATACTCAGTCCTAACTTGGCACACCATCCCCTTGTTAATCTAAGGCCTCTTAGAACGATGTCGCAGAGGGTGCTCTCAAACTTCCCTCTGGCAATGATTACTATATCGTCCGCATAGCCTTGGCAGCGGATACCATTGTCAGAGAGAAGTTGAAGGAGTTCATCCACTAGAATAGAAGGGGGGATATCACCCCCCTTCCCCCCCCTGAAGACAGCCGTTTTTGTTTGTATTTGTACCGCGTGTCCCCTTTGCTGAATTTCCGTTGTCAGTTGGTACAGGGCTGTGTCCGTAGACATGCATGCTGACAGGGGTGTAGGGGTGTTTCCTTCAGAATGTTATGTCTGATATTGTTGTCCACTATCTTCTCCATTGCCTTCAAGACAAAGAAGGTAAGACTTATTGGTCTGAATGACTTCACTAGCGAATAATCTCTTTTACCCACTTTCGGGATAAAGATTACTCGCGCCCTACGTCACAGCTGTGGAATGTAAGCCTCCGCAAGGCTGCTTCCCATTATATCCACCAGGTGCAGTGTTACGGTTTCTCCACCTTGTTGTAACATGACTGGTCGGACGCCATCCACTCCTGTGGCTTTGAAGCGTACGAACGAACTTGGAGACTTTTGCTGTTCTTCAACCTTCCCGGATGTCTGCTACACATCCTTCGACGAACAAGAGGCCTCATCCTTCTGTTCATCCTTTCAGATGCATCGTCGAGTTTACCCTGTAAGTCGTATTTGTCCACGTCGATGCCTTCTGCTTCCATAGCCTCTCGAAGCCGTGATAGTAACTCCACTTTTCTTCCGAAGGTTGCTAAATTTCGCTTCTCCAACTCCTGTTTGAGTTCCTCGATCTTTAGGTCTTGAATTTTTGCCATTTTCAAAAGTTTATCCTTCGGGATTTATTTAACAATTCCACTTCTGACACCAATTGTTACGATTATCCTAGAAACCTTTTCCAAATATCTCCGGCTCGTATCGCTGGATTGTTAAATAAATGCTCACGATGACCAAATTGTAGTACAATTAACTTTATTGTACAAGAAACACTCTACAATACTCGCTAATACAGTAAAAACACTTTACAGTACTCGTTAAAGCAATTACAACGCTTTACAAAACTTGTTACAACGATTAAACTTATAGCTTGCTTATTTGCAACTCACTTTACTTGAAGCTTGCTGACTTGTAACTAACTCACTTCGCTGTGGCGGCGCCCTTATATACCTGCGCTCGCACTTATGACAACTCTAGAACGTTCTGAAGTTTATCGCTCATTCTCTTTCTCTCGCTGTTCGCAGTGTTCATCCAACTTGACGTTTCTCTTTGTGGTACATTCTACGTCATTCCTCGAACATTCTGCCTATTTCCCGTTGTTCGCTTCGCGTTACCGCAGTATTCGCCACACTATATAAGATTTGTTTGTATAAAAAACGCTATCACATATTTATGCATTATTGTCAAAATAACATATGTGACTAATAGTCTTGATTTAGACGAATGGTACTTAATCTTTTTAAGAAAACTTTAAGTTTTAAAAATATTTTTTACCAGGATGGCCTCCCAAAAAACGAGAAAAAAGACCGGAGTCCAATAAGTTGTTTTTTAAAAAGTCCACAGAATTTCGTTAACAGAATTTCTTCTTTTTTATAAGCGGCTTTTAATATAAATATTTTATACATAAATATTAATTTTGTACAAAAAATCCATTTGTAGAAAATTTACAGGGGAGGATAAAGACTTTTCAAAACATTTCCTTCAAAAATTTTTCAGTAGAATTTTGTGTGTGCTTATCGATGTGCCTCGTTTCGACTTAGTAAATTTGCCTGTAATTGAATATAAACGGGAAGAAATAAAAAAAGCACGTTAGTTAATCCCTCTGGAGACGTTGCGTATTGAATTTACCTTGCTTCCTATATCCAAATATGAGTTTTAATCAAAGTGGACTTAGCAACTTTTCACTTTAAGCAAGCGTTATGTTAATGAGATGATTATAGGAGCGTTCCTTATCTCCCAGAAATAGTCAGAAAAAGTCCGAAGTAGTCAGATTTAGTCCAAAAAGCGTTTCTTAACTCGGAAATAACAGCAAAAATGAGAGAGCAACACAGAGTGAGAGTGACTCTCATTAGTCCGAAGTAGTCAGATTTAGTCAGAAGAATTTTTTCTGGCAAAATCCTGAAAAGTATCAAACTCAACTGAATTTCAATTAACGGAAATTAAAGAATACGCAAAAAGTGAGAATAATTTAGAAAGTAAAATAGTGAATTCAAATTGGAAGGAGGCAAAAAATAATTGATATAGTAAGTGTTTATTGTGCTTGTGTGAATGTGTTTTGTACATACATTTCTATTCTTATTTGACGTTAGCTTTGTTGTTGCCATTCTTTGGACTAAAAATTTGGTTTTTTGCGTTCCTTTACTTTTCCTGTTATTCTCTTTTAGTGAGCGCATTTTGCTTACGTTCTGGCATTTTGACACTTTTCAGATTTTAGTCCAAAAAGATAAGGAATGAACCTAATAGGTCTTTCTTTGTAGGATCTTCTTTTCATTGGCAACTAAACTGACAAAAATTTGTAATAATAATTAGATAAAAAATAAAAGTCCGCTAATAAAATTTTCACTGAATCGGGTCTCGATAGAAGTACTCTCTTCCGATACCTACTCAGTACTCAGTTCTAAAATATCAATACCAAAATTACTTGGTAATCGGACGAAAAGTATCGAGTATGTCTTGTATGTACTAGTATAGTTTTGTCCCTATTTGCCGGTTTTCAAATAAAGGCACAGTATACAATAAAGGTTAGGAACAAGTAAATTGTATTATTTTAAAAAGTTTTGACTAGTAGAAACGAAATGACTGCTTGGCTCCCACTTGAATCTAATCCAGATGTGAGTTTCGTAAAAACTAATTTTTCAGAACATATTACATATCTTCTGTCCAATAAAGTTATGAGTCATGCTCGCGTCTGCGATTTTTACTTTTATTACCAGGTACTGACCAAGTACATTCACACATTGGGAGTATCCAAGGATTGGGCTATTACCGATGTCGTTGGCTTAGATCCTGAAATGCTAGAATGGATTCCGCAGCCTGTAAAAGCGATTATATTGCTTTTTCCTGTTTCTGAGGCTGTGAGTGTTGGAGAATGAATATTAGAAATACATTTCTTTTTTTGGCATATATGTAGAATACCTAAAATTCTCAAATTAAAAAAATTCATATTGGGATGGATGGAGATCATTGAGGTGGGCGTAACGATGTATGTATATATTTTTTTTTTGGGAAACAACAACTACAACAACTATTAAAGGTCAAAGTTCAAATTAAGCATGTTTTTTTTATGTATTTTTCTCGAGAACCTCTTCAAGGATTTGAATTTCAGTTTTGAAGTCATTTGATAGAGAATTTAATTCTCTTTAATTTGATGAACAGTATTGGACATACCTATAGCACCCCCCTTTCAAAGCGATATTGTTTGCCACTTGTGTTTAGTTATTTGTTTTTAAGAATTTTCAATTAAAATACAGTTCATTCTCTAACAAAACCCATATAAACCCATGTTTTAAACCTTTTAAAAGACCGCAAAAAAGCGCAACAAACTTTCCCTTAAATTTCAAACTTTTCTCAGAAGCTCTAGAATTTTTTTGAGTATACAGTTTTATAGCGCATTCACTTTTTGTCCAATAATGTGCAAGTTTCAAGTCGCTAAAAATTACCGTTGATTTTTAAGAATTTTTTTTGTCTCATTTGCTTCCATATAACGACTAAACACAATTTATTTTTATATGGCAGAAACTTGCAACATCCTCGGCGAAAAAAAATTCTAAAAAATCTACGGTAATTTTTAGCCACTTGAAACTTGCACACTATTAGACTAAAATTGAATGGGCTATAAAACTGTGTATTCAAAAAAATTCTACCGCTTCTGAGAAAAAGTTTGAAATTTGGGTGAAAATTTGTTGCACTTTTTTGCGGTCTTTTAAAAAGTTTTAAACTTGAGTTTATGTGAGTTTTGTGAGAGAATAAACTGTATTTTAATTGAAAATTCTTAAAAATAAATAAATAAACATGAGTGGCAAACAATATGACTTTGAAATGGGGGTGCTATTGTATTGGCCAATACTGTATATTTATACATATATCTTTTACAGTATTCACAAAAATCTAATTAATGTGGAATTCTACTTTGTGAGGGTTATAATTCATAAGCGCGGCCGAAGGCCGCCTACACAGAAAGGTGTTCTCTGCAAAAGGTGTTCAGCGCCTTTTCTTCGCAACACAGAAAGAAAATTGTACTTTGTGAGCGTTATAATCCATAAGCGCGGCCGAAGGCCGCCCACGGATAAAGTTGTTCTCTGCAAAAGGTGCCTTTTCTTCGCAACACAGAAAGGGAATTCTACTTTGTGGGGGTTATAATCCATAACCAGAAAGGTGTTCTGTGCAAAAGGTGTTCAGCGCCTTTTCTTCGCAACACAGAAAGAGAATTATACTTTTGTGAGGGTTATAATCCATAAGCGCGGCCGAAGGCCTCCTACGCAGAAAGGTGTTCTCTGCAAAAGGTGTTCAGCGCCTTTTCTTCGCAACACAGAAAGAGAATTATACTTTTGTGAGGGTTATAATCCATAAGCGCGGCCGAAGGCCTCCTACGCAGAAAGGTGTTCTCTGCAAAAGGTGTTCAGCGCCTTTCGCAACACTGAAAGAGAATTCTACTTTGTGAGGGTTCTAATCCATACGTGCGGTCAAAGGCCGCCTGCGCAAAAATAATTTTACACAAAAACACTATACCTTTTTTCCACATTTATTCGATTTTTGTGAAAACTATAAAAAGGTATATGTATAAATATGTATATCAAATTAAAGAGAATTAAATTCTTTATCAAATGACATCAAATTCCTTGAAGAGGTTTTCGAGAAATATTAATTCAAAAAAAATGCTTAATGTGAACTTTGACCTTTAATAATTGTTGTAGTTGTTGTTTTCAAAAAGAAATATATATACCGTTATGTTCACCTCAATGGTCTCTATCGATCCTATGTTTTTTTTATTTCGAGATTTGTAGGTATTGTGCATTTGTTCCCTTTTTTTACCGGCGCTTATATTTAGTACGAAAAGCATAGGGCCCAAGAGCACGAAAGTTTAGCTGCAGATCCCGGTATTTTTCCGGACGACCTGTTTTACATGCGCCAACTTACCTCAAACGCTTGCGGAACGGTTGCTCTAATACACTGCGTGGCAAACAGTACAAGGTTTTTCGGCATGAAAAATGTTAAAATAATTTATTAATTTGACTTCATTTAGCATTTCTCTCACCGAAGGAGTTCTGAAGAGTTTCCTTGAAAGTGTAAGGGATTTAACACCTGAAGAGCGTGGCAAAGCTTTGGAAAATGATAAATCTTTTACCGAGGGGCATCATGAACTTGCCAAAGAAGGCCAAACTGTTGCTGATCCAGAGGAGAAAGTAAATCATCACTTTATCGCTTTGATCAATAAGGACGGAACATTGTACGAGTTGGATGGACGCAAACAATTTCCAATTAAACATGGTTCCACTTCGGATGAAACGTTTGTGCAAGACGCTGCCAAAGTTTGCAAGGAGTTCATGGCACGTGACCCAGACGAACTGCGATTTACAGTAATGGCGCTAGTCGCGTCAGATAATTGAACTCTGCATTATTATTATTAGTCACTTAGGAAGTGCTCTTTTCTTTAGTTAGGCTCTGCCTTAAATTTACTCGCAAATTTTTTTTTATATTGCTAATGTATTGGTACTTTAAGCACGCATCTCATTTTAATTTAATAAAACATGGGAATCGTTTGAAAAATATTTAATTTGCTATTTAATTGTCTTTTTTTATGCAGTAAATAGTATATATGTAGGCATATGTACAAGTAAAGGGACTGGATTCACAATTGCGCATGTCGTCTTTCTGAACATACATATCGCACACCGTCTTCAAAAGAGGCACAACTCATAATAATACGTTCGTCAGAGAATGCGAAAAACTAATTCGTAGCACATGCTAATCATATGGGCAAGGGCGACTTTACCTTGGGTTTTTGTAACAAATTAAAGCAAAAATTTGCTCCAGCTTTTTATGAAAGGTAAATAAAAGCTCTGTGTACATTTTTAGCGTATAATTTCAAAAATGGCAAATTTTGAGTTATGACTCTTTTGAAGACGGTGTGCGATATATGCACATGTATGCGACGATATTTAGTTTCTAACAGTTTCTAATAATAATTGGACCTGTTTGTTGCAAATATTGTTTGAAAATGAATTTAAATTAGTTTTAGACGAAAGAAACACGAAATTATATTTTTTAAGTATGTTATTAAAAGAGTTGATCCGATTTTCAACGCAACATCGGACATTGCACTGTTATTTACTACTAAGTATATGGATTTTCCTTCTTATTGCTGGTAAGATGTATTCCTTAAGCTTTCACCGAAATTGTCCATTGAGTATAACCGTGTGTAGAATTAATATTTTCAGGTATGTACAAATACATTGGCTACAATGGTAATTCTCTTAGTAGTACCTTTCGCTTCCTCAACGGAGAATCGCACTCACAATCATTCTCTGAAGCTGCGCAGTATTCGGAGGATGTCGAATCCGAGACACAAGAGAAGACTTTGTTGAAGTATAGTAAATTTAAAGAACGTTGTGCACCTCTAGGACAATTGGTGCGCCATGATGATGGTGGAATATTGGATGGTTGGAAGCTGCAGGGGGTTCTGATGGTCATTAGACATGGGGACCGTGGTCCCATGTCCCATATGCGCGACGTAATGGGAATCGACTGTGGTATGAACAACAATGGCTTAGTTAATCGGTCAGTCGGTGGGTTTGTTCATAAAATATCAAAGAATACTAATTAGAATTAATTTACAGTTATCGCAGTTTTCTGTATAATTCCACATCATCTTCAAGCTCTAATCACATGTATTGGAATAAAGTCGGGCCATTTCATGGGTTTCCATTGCTGCCGGCCTCGGAGCGTGCATGCCTCTTAGGCCAATTGACTTTTAAGTACGTAAACATGATTTTTTATAAACTTTTGCAGGCCCTCATACATACCCTGCTAACAATTTTTTGAGAGTATTCTGCATTGTATATGTACGTATAAATTTTAAAGAATTCGTAAAGATCTCAATCCAAGGCGAATTCATATAGGTTGGTAGCGGTAGTACCAAGGTGTATCTAACAAGGAGGTATTAGCCCATGGTACAATAATTACAGATATTGTCTTCCCAGAGAGCGCATATTCCGATCTGCCTTATTTGAAAAACATCATTGTTGACCACACTAAAAGGCTTACTGCTGGGGAAAAGGGATATTTCCATACCCCATATACCATATATGTACACTAGCATGGGCCGAAAACCGCTTTTTTAGAATTTTGATTGGTAATAGCAAAAATATGGTTCATTATGCTCTAAAAAATATCAGTGTGAAATGTGAAAGTTTTTGGTCAATATCCAGGCTCGCCCAAGTCCATCAAAATTCAAGTACTAAAAAAAATGTTTCTTAGCGAACTTCGATCCTCTACAAAAAGGTCCATATACTTAATTATGTAGGACTAATACTTAAGAAGATTATTGCAATTTTAGTAAAAAAATGTATTACTTAATTTATTTATTAATTTTTGTTTTTTGGCCATATTGAACTTTGCTGGACTTGGGCGAGCCTAAGATATTGACCACAAATTGTCCGTTCCCACGACAGCCGGTTCTACGTACCGGAATGACTCGGGTTTTACCCGACCAAGGGCTGTTGTTTCGGCGATTTAACCCCGTTTAGGTCGGCGAAGTATCTCAGAAGTTGTCAGTCCATAGGGCTACATTCACTACGTATTCTTCTACTCAGGGCTGGCATCGAGTCAAACCCAGGGCCAGAAACCTACAGCTGCTGTGTATGCCGGAGACGATTACACCAGAACTCCACCTCAGTCAAGTGTAATGCCTGCGAGGGGTGGAGTCACCTCAGGGTCTGCTCGGTACTACGGACACATCGACAGTGGACCACGTCGTACGTGGCCCCCTGTTGCTCAAACAGAGCAGCCTCCACGGCTAACCTCAGTCCGCCCGAGCAGCCTCACACAGTCACCACAACACAACAACACAATAACACCACAGACCATACCACAGCCACGACAGACCACATAACACACACAACCGCACCACCACTCACACGCCGCCGCCAACTACTCCTGGTTCCTCCAACAATCTGCACGGTATGTCAGACCAGGATATTCCGTAATGTGACATCAGTCAAGTGCAACACCTGCTTTGGCGTCCCGACGGAATATGCATGCTGATGCTGAAAATTTGGGTCCTGCGGGGGTAGCGTACCTAACGGAGGTCCTCAATCTGTCAATGGCCACTCCTCATCATCCCAGACATCTGGAAGGTGGGGAGAGTGGTCCCACTGCTCAAACCGGGGAAACCTGCCAACAAAGGAGATTCTTATCGCCGATAACACTCCTTTCCCCGGTAGCGAAGACACTCGAGGCCTTGCTACTCCCGTACTTCACAAACCACTTGACCCCAGCGAAGCATCAGCATGGTTTCCGTAAAGTGCACAGCACAACAACAGCACTTAACGCCATAAACACTCAGATAACTCGTGGCCTTAACCGAAACCGTCCCTGTGAGAGAACGATTCGTAGTAGCGTTGGACTTGTCAAAGGCGTTTGACACCGTCTGCCATTCCACGCTACTAGAAGATATAGAGGCCTCCTCTCTCCCACAGAGGCTCAGACGGTGGTCGGCAAATTATCTGAGTGGTCGACATTCGTCGGTAATGTTTAGAGACAAAACGAGTAAACAGAAAAAAATAAAACAGGGGGTTCCACAGGGTGGTGTCCTTTCCCCGCTACTGTTTAACTTTTACATTTCAAAGCTCCCTCAACCACCAGAGGGCGTCTCGATTGTCTCTTATGCCGACGATTGCTCGATCATGGCGACTGGGAATGGAATTGATGACCTGTGTTCGAAAGTAAACGGGTATCTCTCCGAACTTTCTCGCTTCTTCACTGCAAAGTGTCTAGCCCTCTCCCCTACGAAATCCTCCGCGACCCTGTTCACAACCTGGACGAAGGAGGTCAGGCTACCGCTGGGGATTCACGTCGATGACACACCAATTCCGACGGTGAATAACCCCAAAATACTCGGAGTAACATTCGACAACTTGCTCTCCTTCTCTAGCGCACGCAACCGCTATTGTCAATAAAGAACAGAGCCGCAACAAGGTCCTCAAGTCGCTAGCCGGCAGTACTTGGGGCAAAAGACAAAGAAACGTTGCTGGCAACATACAAGGCAATAGGCCGGCCGGTTTTGAACTACGCAGCACCAGTGTGGTCGCCAGGGACTAGTAGGACGCAGTGGACGAAGCTACAACTGTACAGAACACCGCACTCAGGACAGCGACAGGATGCCTCCTGATGTCGCCCGAACACCATCTACACGGCGAGGCGCAAATGCTCCCCGTAAAGGAGCATAATATAATGCTCTGCAAGCAGTTCCTGATCGGGAGCCACAGAAGTGGCCACCCAAGCAGACAGCTGCTTGCAGAGGAGCCCTCGCCTAGGCACGTCAGGAGGCATCTATATGAACTGACAGACGAAGTCCAGAGGTTCATCAAGCAACCTCTGGACCCGACAGCT